GAAGCCTGTCATGTGTTTGGCACTGGAGCGAGCAGCAGCCTAGGACAGAACAGGCTAGTGAGGGGGAGGGCGGAGGGAGGGAAGCTGGGTTGTTTAATGAAAGGTAACAAGACTCGAAGATTTAACTTGGGAAGACTTTCAGGGGGAGAGAGTCACTGCTAAAGTACTTCTAACCCTCCTGCTGAGTTTCCCCTTCACCGTAGTTCTCACAATGTGGATCCGGCTGTTCCCATTTGATAATGAAGATGATAATACCCTCCAGTGTTAGGATTTGCAACAAGATCCATAATCTGGTCCCTGTTCTGGCTCCGAGCTCCCAAGTCATGGGTGACCAGGTGTCTTTACTTCCCTGGTTGAGGGGCCTTTTCTAAGCGCCTAAGCTGGGGCTGGCTCGTTGCTTGGGGAACAGTGCGATGATTGGGGGGGGGGGATGGTGGGAATTTAAGCCCCACCCAACCCCACCCATCTGGGAAGGGAGAGGGGCTAGAGGTTGTGCCAAGTGGCCAGTGAGTTCATCGAATATGTGAGCGCTGCGGCCTCCCAAACAACACAAAGGGAGGGAGCCGGAGACCTGGGCGGGGCGGGTGTGGCCAGGGCGGAGCCCCTGAGTCCAGCCCCGGTCAGCGGTCAGCTCCGGCTCTAGATCCCTTTGGGCAGCCGAGTGGCCAAGCCTGGGAGGCCCTGCCCCAAGCTCTGATCTGACCGAAGGAGGGGGCGGCATGTGTAGTGTGGGCCCCTGGCGGGCACAGCTCTGTAGCTGTGCTCATCACCTGCGGCCTGATGCCGCCCTCAGGGGGAGGTGTGAGAATGGAGGGAATCAGGGGCACGTGCCTGGTGGCGGAGAGCTGCCTGTGGCCCAACAGCCCCCACGGATCTGGTGTCGAGTTGTGAGTGTGCCAGCTGTGTGAGCGGAGAGGTGAAACCCCGGCCTTTCCTACCCGCAAGCTTGGGGCAATGAACCTCTTCCTGACTTCCCCGGAAACAGCCAAGCCTCGCAGGAACGGCACCAGGAAATCCTCCCTTTGTGCAGACACAGAAAGAGCAAGAAGCCTGCAGCGACGGACTCCGGTGTCTTGAGCCTCCCGTGGCGGGCTTCCTCCCAGCCCTGTCCTGTAAGGTTTGTGATGTTTATGCTCTGGGCCCAGTAACGGTGCGCCTTCAGTGTGAGTGACCCCAGTACAGTAAGTCCTTAGTCAGCCTCATCCATCAGTTCTTGGAAATCACCACTGAAGCAAAATAACCCCCAAATCAGGACCTTAAGTAATGTTTTGGTTCTGCTTTTCTCGTCACCAGGGTGGTAAAACGACCGTGAGCAAAAGTGACATCATTTGAGCACCCACTGAATACATCGGATCACAGTGCTGCTTATCGGTTCCCGCTGCTTTATTTAACTGTATTGTCCAGCTGCAGACTCATTTGCACTATCTCTGGCGAATGCTTACGTGGTCTGCCCTACTCCAGCAATGAACTTGGGCGCTATGTCTGTACCTGAACTTGCACGACTAAGATGTACTGGGTGGGAAAACTGAGTACGGAAGCAGGCAGGACTTCAAGGCGTCTTACTTCAGTGGCGAAGCAAGACGCCCGGGGTCTCGCCTTCCTTTGGGTCTCTAGTTGGTCCTCGCAGGTGTCTAGTCCACCCTCAGCAAACTGTCCAGGCCCTGCAGCGGCACGGCCCTGCCCCCTGACGCAGAGCCCAAGCTGGTGCGAGGCGCTGCTTTAAGCCGCTGGCTGTCGGGGCAGCTTCCCTGCCGGCCGGCCGTGGCCCGGCTCCGTCAGGTTCCCTCCCCGGCTGGCTGCGCCAGGCACCCTGGCTCCATGCAACCAGGCCCAGGACTGAGCGTGTCCAGTGACGGAGACCTCATGACTTCCCCCAAATTATTCCTCTGCCTGCAGATACAATACCTGAGAGTCTGAGACTCTAAGGACTGTCCAGCCGTTGGAACACGGGCCAGAGCAGCCAGAACAGTTTTTCCCACCTTAACTTGCAAGCATTCCAAGGGTCACACCTACTTAAATTGTCACCAACCTGGACGAGTTCTGGTGAGGGAGAATTTCGGCAAGTCATTTGGAAGCTGCTCTTAGCTCACCACCCAACGGTAGCAGGAGGCTGTGTGCGTGGTCACTGAGCGTGTGGACGTCCCGCGCGGGTCCCCTCCATGGGCCCTGTGGGGACACTGCTGTCGGCCAGCCACCCGCTTGCTGGGGGCTAACAGCCAAGGGTTAGTGGCGATACGTCTTTTGAAAATGTACGTGCCCTCGTGGTATTCAGCGAGGTGAATGCCAGGTCTGCCCACTTGGGCATCCCCCACGCTCGGTCGCTTGAACTGTTAGTCACATTCTTATTTTACTAAGATTCGAGTGTGACCAGAGAATGGTTTTTTTTCTGTTGTCCAGACAACCAAGGATTTATTTTCATGACCTGTCAAGCTAGCCCAGATACTCTGACAACTGACTCCTCTCCCTCTTATCCTTGAGTCTTCCTTCCAGACAAAATTGCCTACAGCATAGGAAGCGTGTGAGCGTGTGTGCGTGTGTGCACGTAGGAGCTATGTCTGTGTGTGTGTTCCTTTCATTTGTATGTATTTTTCTTTCTTGATGTTTTCCTTTCCCCACCTCCAGTGTTTGTATACCTGTGTTTTCTCCCTCCACCCCCTCTTAACCACAGAGCACAGAGTCCTCCCTGCCTTTAATGTTCACTAGTGTTTATACATGTTTTACTTTATCAAAGAGTCTATTATTAAATGTCCAGTGTGTGACTTAGTCACTTTTTGTAATTTCCTGGTCTCCACTCGCTGTGTTTCATCTTTCCTCAGGGCTGCATAATATTCCGCCCAGTGGGTATAATACATCTTCTTGCCCCAACCTTCTGTGGGAGGTCATTTAGGCCACCTCCGCATCCTGGCAATTGTAAACAGTGTTGCTTTAGACGCTGTAGACCGTATAACTTTTTGAAGTGATGCCTTCACATTCTTTATATAGAAGCCTGATCTTAAGTTAGGGAAAGCATTCAGTCTTTTACTATTAAGTGTTACCATTAAATATGACATTGACTGTACTGTAATATGTCACCTTCATTGTATTGATAGTCTTCATCTTTTCCACTCAGTTTTTATCATAAATGGGTACAGAATCTTATCAAATACTTTAACTTTGTTGATAAAATATATTACACTGATTGGTCTTACACATCTTAAATCATCCTTGCATCTCTGTGATAAACCTGACTTGATCGTGTTGTATTTTTTATTTGATTTGCTAGTATTTTGTTGGAGATTTTTGCATTGCTATTCATCAGGGATATTGGTCTGTAATTTAATTTTCCTCTGCCACCTTTATCTGGTTTTGGTATTATGGCAATAATGGCATCATCGAATGTAAGATCGTGTTCTCTTCAATTATTAGAAAAAAATAATTGAGCAAAGCGGGCGGGCAAGTGTCTCCTTCTCTACCCCTCAGCTGGTCCAGCCCTACTTACCACTCACGTGTGGCAAGCGACAGCCGTCTGTCTGCTCTCTCGCTCTCGGTCCCCTCGCCGTCCACTGTGTGGGCCAGCCGGGTGATCTCTCTGGCTGTGTCTCAGCTGGCCTGAATTCCTTGCTTTAGTCGTGCTCCCCTGCTTGTCTGCTGTAAACACCGTGTGCCCCTGGCCACGCGCTGAGCCGGTTCCTAATGGTGGGAAGCATCTTCCTGCTCACGGGAAGCTCGCACTCAGCACAGACATCACAATGGAGCTGTCACGCGGCTGAGCCTACTGCCGCCTGCCACGCAGGCCTGGCTCAGTGGGGACAGCCCGCGTCACGTTGCATCCTTGAATGGTGGAAACCTGGTCAGTAGTTTCTGAACAAATTGTGATGAGTGGGGGCGCTTAGGAGGGGCTCTCAGACTAGCCCCCGAGTGGGGTTCTGTGACGTGTGTGGTAGAGGTGAGGGAATCAAGTGAGAAAAATGTTAACATTAGTTTCCGATTCTGTTTTCCCCACTTTAGTCTTCTCTGAATTTTTTTTTCTTCCCAATACGTAAGACTTTGTTGCATTCTCCTCAGAGCCTAAACAGTAGAGCCTGGTGTTCACAAGAACACTGGGCAGCTTCAGTGTGAATTTGGTGACTTGCTGGCTGTGTGCCTTACAGTACTTAACATCTTTATGCCTCAGCCTTCTCACCTGTAAGGTGGGAGCTATTAAGGGCATGAAGATGGAATTAGGGAAGCTCAGGCCAGTGCTTAGCGGCGTTGGGCACACTGAACTCAACGCAGGCGTACAGCTGTGACGGTCGCGCTCAACACAGAACAAGTAAAGGTCTGGGAGACCCAGTTACAGCCGGAGCCTCTGGCCCAGGCACTTCTCTGTGCTGCATTAGAAGGAAATCCGTGGTTCCAGAAGCCTCGTGGAAACCGATTTCCTCTTTAGGACAGTTTTCCCCAACCAGGTCTCGCTGAACTCAAAGAATGACTAGAGGGCGCCCCCATGGCAGGCCTGCAGGCTGCTGGAGCCTGCCGGAGCCGCACTCCACTGAGAAAGGCTGCTCGGTGCTTCTGCACGTTTGGTGTGGGACCGACATGGCGCGTCAGAGCTGTGTCCTGCTGTGCCCAGAACATCACTCCCTCCTTGTCCAGCTGTGCTCACCGCGCACCCAGCAGAGACCTGGCCTCCTTTGAGAGAACCACCCCCACCGGCCCTGCGTACCCTCCCCAGCTCTGGGGTGGGAGGTCTGGAGGGTGGCAGTGCCAGTCACTGGACTGCACGGGCGTCAACACCTCGCCCCCTTTCCGTGTTGCTCACACACGTCCTCTCACAAGCCGCTGGGACTCTTTCCAATGCCTCGCCTAGGGCCCCGCGGCACTGTGCATGCCTGGGGTGCGGCTGCCCCCTGCTCGCCCGGCTGTCTCCCGAGGTCAGCGGGGCTGGGTCAGGAGGCCCCGGTCAGGAGGGAACCCGGCGGGCTCGGCAGTGTTCGCCCAACCCACATAAGGGAGTGTCATCGAGCCGTTCATTTCTGAAGAATATTTATTGGCATGGGAAAATGCTCACAGTATGTTAAAGAAAGCAGGATACAAATCTGTAATACAGCATGATCCCAGTCTTGTAGCAAAATAAATTATATAGGCATAGAAAAACACAAGACGTAAATACACCAAAACATTACAGTGACTATCTTAAAGAGGTGGGCTTTGGGCAAGTTTTTATTTTCTGCATTTTTCCAAACTTTCCACAATGTAAGTATTATTTTTACACGGAGGGGAAGGGGGAGAATCAGAATAGGTGGTATCAGTGTGGGAGACCGAGACTGCTGAAGTACAGGGAGAGCTCCTGCTTGAACCTGGGCTGTGCCGCCTCTGTGGGGAGCGGTAGCACCCTCCTCTCTGACCCACCTCCCAGGACCACTGGGTGTGTGAAAGGGCCCAGGGCCTGTTGGTGCTCTAAGAGCAGCAGCTCAAGTGGCCTATTCTAGCACACACTCCTCATATCCTGTTTCAGAGGTCAGAGGGTGTGGACAGCGGGCGGCTGGGCGTGCTTTCCCTCCACTGCCAGCCAGTGTTGGGCAGGTGCCTGGGGGGCTTGCAGCCCTGGCTTCTGCCATGAAGGCTGCCAGGCCCTTGTCAAACTGAGTAGTGACTGAGCAAGTTTCCCATTCACAGTTAACTCCAGGTTCCCTCCCTGCCTTAGGAGTTCTTTAAACCTGTTCTGCTGAAATAATTATTGCTTAAAATGGCCTGAGAATCACAATTCTCCCAGCATTCCAGATTCCAGGAGGCACACTGCAGGCCTAGGTGAGCCACGTTGGGGGGGGGGGGGCGGGGAGGAAGGGGTGCTGGGAGTCAGGACCACTAGAGCCCCACTCTGATTTGTGTCGTGTCGGGTCATGTATGCTTTCCAGAGATGATCTCTCATGAGATGTGATGGGATTGAGGTAACACATAAAAAACCTAGCATGTAGTTAGCACTCAACAGATGTCCATTCTCTTTCTATGTGCAAGACAAGGCCATTCTCCTCTTCTCCCACAAATTGTTCCTTCAAAAGCAGAACTTCATGTCCAGTGCAGGGAAATCAAAATGAAACAGAAGTCACCGAAAATCGAAGCGCACAGCTAGTACAATAGGGCGGTTCACACACTAACTGCATCAAGCGGGCGAGATGGGGTTTCAGTAGACATGTCTCCATTTAGGAAGCAGACAGTCATGCCAAAGCTATAAAAATACTTTAAAAATGCATTTGTAGAATGAAGTAACAAAAATACTTTTCTAAACTTTTTTCACTTAATCTAAAATTATGAATTGCCAAAATTCATTCTATTTACTGTTGTTAAAACATGGGTTACCCACTTTTCCTCCAAGTATTAGTGAAACTCCTAAAATGTGTTACATTCTTCCTGTTGAGGGAGCATTCTGGATTTTTTAAAATAAATGCAGGAGTGGAACATCACTGTGAGAACTGAGTCTGTGGCCATTTGTGTTGTACCGGGTCAGGGTCTTTTTGGAAACATCGCCCTAGATGTGCCTCAAATTGTCTTGATTTTCCCATCTTCCTATTTAGTTTTCAGTTTTTTGCTGCTCTGCTTCCACCCTACCCTCCTCTTTCATCATTTCTCTTGTGGGCTTGAAAACTAGATACCTAAATGTGTTAGAAATGTATGCAAATTTTAGTAAAAAGGCAAAAAGTGATATTCTTGAGGATCTTTCCTACAACTTACAAAAATTATGTGACATCTCTTGGCAGCTAAAAGGCCTTTTAAAGCTCAATTCCTGATTTGTTGTTTTGCCAGAGAAGTGGCTTCTGGATAAAGGATCTTTCCACTGATACCCCGTGTACTTTCCCTCTCCTAAAAAGGCTCGTAGGATAAGTGAGACGGATGTAAAGCACTTTTAAAATAGCATAAACTGACAGAGTTTGGTTTAACAAATGTATCTATAAAAAAACACACACAGATGGCTAAATTGAATCAACCCCAATGTTTTATTTAAAGTTTTAAAAGGCAGTGGTTAAGCACATAATCTTATGTGTATATATGTGTGTACTTACACACACGTGTCCATCTGTATGTGCACACACATACACACATAAAAGGAAACCAACCCCTTTTCAACTGTGGCCACTGATTAGCTAGGCCCAAGGTCTATGTATGGTTCATTTTCTACTTATGACCAATTCTAAAAATAAAAATGAACAGCCTTATTAATCAGTTTAATAGTAACCATGTGTTTCTTTTTTAAATAAATAAAAGTTACCATTAAACTGATCACATGTGGTACAAAGGCAGAGCACACATACAAGCACACACACCACCCCCAATTTGTGACGTGGGAATGACCTGTATGCACAGACGGGCGCTGCGGACTCCGCACCGCAGCAGACTGCCGCGCTCCCAGCACCGGAAGCGCCCTGCACTCTGCTGAGCTGCAGGCCCTGTGCTCTCTGGCACCCAAGCGCAGACCTCAGAATGCACGCTCCCTGTGCAACGGTACAGAGGGGGTTCAGTTCTATGGTTCTAGTGTTCAGGTATTGAGGGAATAAATAGGCATGTATAGCTGCCTCAGAACTAAACCATCGTTCATGACTCGATAGGAGATATGTATTCTGAAGTTCTACATAAGCGACATGCAAACTCTGAGTGAACGAGCTTGCAGGTCTGGGCTGTGTGTGTGTTTGTATGTGCACTCCTGCATATTTTTACAAAATCGAAATGAAGAATGGGGCTAGGTTTATGGAGCAGCTGCTTGGCTTCCATTAGTCAGTCCTGATTTAAAAATGCTGGTCTAACTTGCTCGGCCCTTACGTAGGAATTCATTTCGCTTCTCCTGTGCCTTCCTGCCTGCTGAAGAGATTCAGAAAGGGCAGCTCACAAAAGTGAGAGGAAGACACTGCTAATCTGCTGCTAAGGATCTTGGCAAACAACTGCCAGCTTCAACCAGGGCTGCTCTGCAGCGTGAGGCCCTTCAGTCCCACCCCAACGAGATGGAATTACTCCTTCCTGTGTCTAGCCCCTGGCCGGCTAACCGCAGCTCGGTGTGAATGCCTCGGTATTGCAAAAACACAGGATCACCTCTTAAATATGCTGGATTCTCAATGAGTAAACCAGTTAATGTGTTTCTAGCCAAAGCAAGGGCATAAATGTTTTAGAGAAAAGATTCCCCTGGAGCTACAGAGAAAAGATGCTGATAAAAGCAATATTGAGAGTTGAGCAGGTGATGCTTTCAGTCCGTGTCGGAGCTGGTCTCTTCGATGACTGAGTACTGACTGAGTGCTTCCTCCAAAGGCGTTATTGTCCCATCAGGTTTTAGTCCCATTGGTTTAAGCAACTCCTCTCTGGAAAAAGAGAAAAGAGAGAAAAAAAACCGTATTCACCAGCATCACACACATGCCCCTCCCCCCACCCCAGCCACATCCTTTAAAAAGAAAGTCTTTAAAAACCAAAGTATTTCTCAAGCCCTGTGTGTGTAACAGGAAAGATGAAAGGGGCATGGAAAGAAAGAGGGAGATGAAAGACTGCACTCACTCAGGCCGACCTGCTAAGCCAATTAAAAGTACGAGAAGTCAAGGTCTAAATGGGCTCGGGACAAGGAGCAGGCCTCTTCTGTTTTTAATAATTCCGTTCCCCCCCCTCGTGGATTACTTTTGTTTTGGTGAAGCTGCCAAAATTTCACCTGGCCCAGTGGGCCAGGCTTAGAAGTGGGGTGTGTTACATGTGCTTTCATTCAGCAGGCTAAAGCTCGCCTCACCAATCTCTAGTGACCCACAGGTGCTTACTGATACATTTCAAATCGGCGCCTGCCCCAACCTTCTCCCTTTTCTTTCTTTCTTTCTCCTTTAAACACTATAGCTTTTGTTTGTGGCAGTTTAATTATGGGATTGACAGCCATTTTAATCTCTTCAAAGCTCCCCAACTGCCTCTTTTCAGCTAATCCAATTATATCTACTCCACAAGTTACAGCCTCATCTAAAGATGATTAATTATTGATTAAGCCAATCAAAAAGCATTAGGGAAGATTTAATCTTTTCATAGGTTCTTATTTATTACATGGAGATTATGGCAAATGTGCCTGTCGAGTTGCTAACTCCAGTCCTTCTCCCACCCCTAATGACAGCAGTGTACTTGAACAGTGGCCTCAGAGAAGCAGATGAGCTGCTTAGTTTCTCAGGGAAATGGCTAGCACCCCCTGAAAACAGGTCTCTCGCCAAGACAAGAATCCACATGAGCAGCTGTAAGACTTTGGGTTGGGACAAGGGAAATCATGTGGCCTCTCTGCCCCGTGCTGCTGCTTGCTGGCCAGCACAAAGGACTCCTTCTGGGGGGGTGGGGGGGCAGCCGCACGGCAGTGCGGTGGTGTTAGAGGCACAGTGAAGCATCCTGGGGGACGGGGAGGAGTTAAAAAGTTCAGTGGTCACTAGACAAGCCAAGAGGAGCCAAGCAGGCTCCTGGCTAGCACAAGAAGATTCCGAGAGTCTAAAACAGCTATTGAGTAACGACAGCTCAGCTGAGGCTCCAGAGTGTTATAAAGTAGGAAATGTGTTTACTGATCCAAGAAATGGTGTGAGAATCTTAGAACTTAAGGGTGACACGGACTTAGAGATCATTTAGTCCAACCCCCTCATTTAATGAAGGAGACTGAGCGTCTTACCAAGGTCACATATCTGGGCAGAGTTGGGCTGCCCTTGCGGGTTAGGTGAAGCAAAGATTCAATACAATGGAGAAGTAAGTGGTGCTGTAATAGCACCATGAGCAAAGAACCGGGTCGCTCCTCAGACGAGCAGAGACCAGACTGCCCACCTTCCGGCGCTGTGTCCCACGCCAGGTGAAGTGGGCCAGGGTGCTTCAAGAGGGGACTGCAGAGAGGGCTCGGTGTGGTCCTGTGTACTTGGCGATTTGATACTTTTGGGTTGTCAATTTTCTGTCTGCGCTCAATAAGCTGTGATGGGGGAAGATGGTGAGGGTCATGAAAAAGGGGCAGGAAGTAATGCTACAAGGCAGTTTGGGATCTAATAGCCAAGTATCTAAAGTGCCAAGCTGGGTGCTTGGGTTTTACTCCATGAAGTTTCAGGGGGGTCTGTTTCATAGGGAGAACTGTGGCAGCAGTATGGGAGACGCGTTGGAAGGGAAAGAGAGCTGGTAACAGTGGATATATCGGAGAAGAGGCAAAGCTGGAGTTCTGGGGGTGAGTCAGGAACAGAGTGGCCCGTGGCTCCCGCCTATGACCCGTGGACGGTGACACCATTCGCTGGAGGGAGAATGCAGGAGAGAGAGCAGCTGGGTGGGGGAGAGCTGAGATCTCTCGGACACGAAGCGCTTGTCCTTGCACGACAACCAGGTACAGGGGGTTAGTGAGAAGCTAGAAACAGTCTGTTTCCATTAAAATAGCTCTCTGGCTTGGCTCTGTGCTGTACATCTTGGTGAGAATTTCCTGCTTCTAACGGTTGTACTGAAGGGTTTTGTGGTACTCTGCTAATAACTGATGTAAAAGGAGGAGACAACCCACTGGGAATGAGACATTAAGGGAAAAGAGCTCCAAGGTCTGAAGAGGCTGGTGGCTGAGGGTGCACTCAAGTGGGGCAGAGGTCGAGGGCAGGGAGAGGCAGGTACAAGGGCAAGTGGCAGAGGGGACCGAGGAATTCTACCAGGAGAGCAAAGGGCTGCTAGGAGACCACCCAAGCCCCACTGCCTCTCTGGCGCAGCGCATGATAGTGGGGCGAGCTACCAACTTGTACGGAGTAGCTGGCCTTTCTCTTCCAAACCCAGGAGGACTATTTTCAAATCAAATCTATGTTTCATCTCTACTCTTCAGTGTACTTTTATAGTGGAAACACTAAAAGACATTACATAAGTTTTATGGCCAAAGCATGGGATTTTAGCTATAGAATACACTTCCTTAGATATTTTAGCTTCCACTTCCCAAACATACATCTGTAATACCCCTCTATCAACACAGAAATGCCTCTGTAGGTACAAATTTTCCTTTCCACATGGCTCTAGGCATGCCAGAACCTAGTAGCAGTGCGATAGAGTAGTAAGAACAATAAATCTATTGGATGACTTAATTCTTCCACTTAGGAATTATGTGAGCTTGGGTGAGACTCGGGGTCTCTTTCCTCATCTGTGAAATGGAGATGAGACTACTAGCTCGACCTACTCCCCAGGGATGCAATAAGGAGTAACGGTAGCAATAAAGTAGATGCAAGAGTCCTGTGAACTGTAAGGGAGCCCTAAATCTCTTATTACATGGCAGAGTGACAGATTTTTAGGCCCCGGGTTCCCACCACTCACCAGTGTGACACCTTGGGCTCTCTGAACTTCAGTCTGTCTTATAGAAATGGGATAGGAATACCCACCTCACTGTGTGGACATAAGGTCAGGTGTTCATTATACCCATAATGTGCATAGTGCAGTGGTTGGAATGTAACTGGAACCCCTAAGATGCACTTCCTAATCATACATGCTAGGGATGGTTACTCCATGCTTCTAAGGGACTCTTGGGGAGTAAACCAGGGAAGAATATGCAGAAGCAAATCAAAGACATGGTCCCTGTCCTCAAGAAGCTTTTAGTCAGTTCAGAAGATAAAACACACACACACATTAAACAATAGTAAAAGAATTACAGAACAGCAGATTAACAAGCTTGAGATGATTGACAGGCAGAGCCCTCTTTTCTTAGCTTGACAGTTTGACACACACTTATTCTACTTGCACTGTCTTTCAAGTGGAGAGTCCTTGTCCTGTTTGGGAGTGGATGAGAGAGGGTCACTTACAGATCTGTGACTGTCTTCTCTTATGGACCCCCTGCTTCCCAAATCCTCACCTTATTTCTGACCTTTGCCCTTGCTATCATTTAACAGTCCACAAATACCAAAATGAAATCTGACAGTCTCATTCCTAAAAAGCCTGTAACACTGGACTGACTTCAGAAGGTTGTTGTATCTAGATCAGCAAGATGCAGACACAGAATGAGCAGCTTTAATAGGAACCACAGGATGGTCCCCAGCCAGGCAGTGTGCATGTGGCAGGGACGGGAGGAGGCTCCTGCGGAGGTGGACTCGGGGGGGGAGGCTGGCATGGCAGTGATGGACACAGATTCATAGAGAACCCAGAAGCATTAGTCAAGCAAAGGCGCAGAAGCGAGAGTTAGTTACACAGGGATGGGCAAGCAGGCTGGCTCGGCTGAGGTAAAGGAAAAGGAAAGCTCAAAACAGATCTGGGTACAAAAGAGGATTTGAATAGAGATTTAAGAATCCTAGGCTGTGAAGTCTGGATTTGAGTAGAGAGGGCTCCATATCTTGAATATTTATTAAAAATCTCATTACAAAGTTTAAAAACTATGAGACAATATTGTTCTGACATACTCGAAAGAAAATGTATGTTTTATGCTTTATTCAATTTTCATATTCCTGTATGTCTAGCACAGTGCCTTGCAGGTAGCAGATCCTCAATTAGTGTTATTGACCTAAATTTCATTGCCATTTATATCTTGCACTTTCATAAAAGGCATGCTTTATAAATCCTATCTTTTATAGGATTCTTAATAAACCACAATCAAGAGAAAAGTGAGATCTTTGGGTCAAGATTGACTTTCATCAAGATTTAGTTAGGAAAAATATCAGCATTCTAACAAATTCTACATCATGCTTTTAGGGACTTCTTGTTCTCTACTAGAATAGGAACAACTTGAGGGCAGAGTCCATGTCTTCCTGGCTGGAATCTGAAGGACCTAATACAGAATGGGGCACACACAGTAGGTGCTCAGGCATGTTTACTGAGAGAATATAGTGCATGGATCACAGCATTAAGTGGAGAATGGTAGAGAACGATTTATTGGGAATCATTTGCATAACTTTAACTATTTCCCTGACAAATGTCATGAGGCATTCTGACAGACTAGCACATGTCAGGCACAGCCTGGAATTCTCAACCACTAATTGGAACAGACTGCTGTTACTTATACACAGGGCATCAGGATGTCTATATTCTCAGTCTGCCACTAACTGGAAAGATGTCTGTGGGCAAGTCATTGCCTTCTCTGAGCTTCAGTCTTCCCGTCTATAAAATGAAGGGGTTGGACAAGATGATCCCCAAGATTTTAAGAGTCGAAATGTTAGCCTACTGAACAATTTTGATATATTTTAATTGCTACTGGGTTTTCAAGGCACTAAACCCTAAGTCTTCGTTTCTAGTCAAGATAATGTACATCTAGGAGTCCACTACAGCATCCTACCTAATTGTTACTGGAGCTAAATGTTACTGACATATAGCAAGACCACAAATCCTCTCTGCAAAACTACCACAGATGACTTGAATGACTACAAAAGTAAATCAAAGC